CCTTTTGCTTCAGGTCGCCGTCGTACGACAGATGACCTGTCTGGTGACATTAGAAACACTCCCGCAAATCTCCGCCGAACGTCACCGCCTTTTGTGTCAGGCCCTCCTGGTAGCGCCTGAAATCTCGAATACGATCCTTCTTCGTCAACGGTGGCGGACGCGGACCATAAGTGCCGTACCCACCAGCACTTCGCCCACGCAGGGCGCCGCGTCCTTCCATTTTGCGAGCCTAGCCATAACGCTGATGACCCTGACCACCGCCGCGATAGCCGTGCTGCTACGTTCTGGGCTGTGGTGCCCTCTGATCACCACCGTCCACTCGGCTTTGAGATTGGCCAGAATTGATCGGCTCTTTATTGTATGAACTGTTATTAACTGCCGACATTAGCTTCATGTGGTGTCAGTTGGTAGCCCCCGAACAACATCGAAGCCGCGCCGAGCCAGTTCGGAGCGCCTTTATCTCCAGTACCGGTAAGAATCAGTCGCCCTTCCGTGTCGTACCGTGGCTGACGTTGCCCCGCTAGCTGCGTTGGTGCCCCCAGTATTCCTTCATACCCGGTCACCACATTCGTCAGGTTGTTTGGAAGCGCGCCTGCAAACGGTGCCTGCCCCGCCGGGGCCACGGACGCCGCCGCCGCTTGTGACGGAGGCCACTAGCGGTCGCGCCTCCCTCTACTTGTTTCCCGATCGCGGCCTCCAGGCCGATACGATATCCCTCGCCGTATTCGCCGACCTGAAATACTGCGATGCGTACAGCCTCGTCTAAAGTTTGTGGGTAGTGTCCTCGTACGGAAGCAGCTGAGTGTTCGTTGTACATACCTCACAGGAACGCGTCGACATGCCACTCCTCACCAATGCATGTATCTACCACGATCTCGCGTAGTACTTGAGCGTACTCCACGAGTCGCCCCCCAACCGAGCTAAATGGTTCAATGTCTGATTATCCTCTGAGATGGAGCCAGCGATGGTGCCGAACCACCGCAGAGTCTCCCCTTCAGAATTCACCGCCACCTCCAGGTATAGCTGGTGCTCCTGCCACGCCACACCGAGCGTAACCTCATGGCGCTTGATCTCGTTTTGTATGCAGCGCAGCCACGCGGTCAACGACATGGCGTCATCGGGGCCCCTTGAACTTCGGGATCTTCAGTTGTTCCCCCGCGGAACTACGATCGTCACTGGTTGTTGCACGCTCGCCACCTCCTGCTTAGTTGGTGGCTCCACTGGTCGCTGGATTGCGCGGTGCTACCGGTGGTTGCTCCGCTTGTCTGCCCGCAGCAGCCTCGGCCACTGGCCCATCACCAACGCCACGTCCGCCAGATCCCGCATTGCTGTCCGATGCTGGTGGTCGGTCGCCACCGCCACTGTTGTCGTTACCGCTCGGTGCTCCACTTCCCGTGTGCACCATCATGACTTCGATGGCGCCTTGATTCGTCAGCGTGAGACCGGTCGCCACGCGAATGTCCGCGCTGGTCACCACGAAGCCCCCCCTCCCGTCGCCAGTATCCAAGATGGACACTTCGAGCGGTTTCGCCTTCTTTTGGGAGCGCTGCACGTCCCCCGATTACTGACTCAACTCCGTTTGCTGCTCTTTACGCAACTTCTTAGTCATCGCTATCCGATCTATTACACTTCACAGTTTGTTAGACTTCGTCTCAATGTTCACTTAAATATTAGTGCCGCTCCGGGTTCGCGAGACAAGCTCGCCAAGTATGTTCCGAATACTTGGCCCAGACGCCCCATGTAGGACCTGTACCCACGGGCGAGGGGAGTACGTCATGCATGACACGCAGGCATTGTCTATAGCCCAGGCAATCCAGTGGCTGCACAGGTCTCAGTCGCTCTCGTGGTAGGAGAGAATGCGTCCTACTAGGAGTCCTATTGTCCTAAAACCTGGGATAAAAAACTAGCAATTCGGCTCATAAACAAACCCATATTTAGGACAACACAATGAGTTTTAGGACGAAACAAGCCAGGGTCCGCGTGTCCTAATAGGACACTCGACAACTGGACACTCAGTCTGTCCTATTAGGACAGACTGCAACTCAGACCACTGTCCTATTAGGACAACACCAAGCCCAACATGCACTGTCCTCAAGCCATATCCTCAACTGGCCTAGCTAGAAACAATAAACATCTTAAAGCCCCTCTCTGTTGTGCGCGAAAAGCACCTCAACAAAACTTCTCTACTACAAAGTGTGTGACATTATTTTTAAAGTGTTTCAAAGGATGATAGTCATTGAAGGTAATAATAGCCGCTAATAACGGTTGAGCGACTTCAGCATGCACATAGCAAACGACGGTTAATAATCAGAACGTGACGACATAGGGGGGGCTCAAAAAGCAGCAAAGTACTCGCAAGGGCTACTTGGCTGCAAGTCGATCCGAAGACGCGGTTAGCAAGCGATGGGGGTCTTGGTTAGCGCGGCAGTGTGCTCGGCCTGGTTCATCGAGTTGTCTGACGTCGTCGGGGTGTCGACAACAGGTGCGTTTGTGGCAGGCGAGTCCGGGCTGGGAGCCGACGTCGATGGGCAGTTGGACGGCACGTAGACTACCAGGTCGGCCTTCAGGTTGGAACCGACACCGACCGGCAGTTGGCACTCCTCCAGGTTCATGGCCTTCACGTCAGCGAGCAGGGTGTTGCAGGCAGTCGAGGCGCACATCTTGTCAATGGTGGCCTGGTCCGGGATCTCAGTGGTCCGTGCCGCACTGTTGAATGTTCGCGCTCGTGAGCAGAGCGGACAAGACACTGCTTCCGCAGGTGGCAGCAGAGGCCAGATAGGCGAGCGCCCTAGCTGCAGAAGGAGTAGCCGCAATGATCCATGATGCTTGGCTGCAGTAGTGGAGATTCAGAAATGGTTGGTGTGCCCCAGGACAATAAGTAAAGCCAATGTGAGTTTTAAGTAACTCTTACGTAAATTTACGTAGATAGTCCGGAAAAAGTTAATATTTGAGGTTTAGGACAATCTGGAGGACACAAATTATAATATTCTGTAACGAAGGATTAGTCGCTTTTTAGGACACATTTCCAAAATCTCCCTGTAAAATTTAGGACAAATAGGACAGTTTAGGACGTGTCTTAGGACGCATTATCCTACACCGCTCTCGTGCTGCTCGGCTATTGCGGAAAGGTAATAGTAGACGCACCCTACCGCGTCGACTTAAGTGAGATGACCCACTTGCCGACGACATAGGACGGCCACTTGGCAACCCTAAACGACCTTCGCTTCCACGGCAAGGGGACGACATTCCGGTTCCCGTCACGAAGAGGTGTGCCTCAGGAGCGCGTCCTCCTCAGCCCTAGTCGTAAGCCACTGCCCCCCCCCGCTCTCCCAAACCAAAAAAAAAAAATTTTCCCCTCCCCCCCACCGCCTCCAGTGCGCCCCACAGGACTCTTTGCCTCTCAAAACCCTCTCTCTCAGAATATGTTCTCTCCACGGTTTGGTGGAAGTTGGCCCCGCGAGAAAGCCCGAACTCAGCGTAGATAGCTGGCTAACCTGCGTTGTCCTGGTTAGATTGCAGCTGAGCGTTGGGCGCAGGACGGCCGTCCAGTGCTCCTACGACGTCTACCCTACCCTACTGACTGTTTCTCCTTCGGTCCGTTGTCGCCTCTCCTTGGTTCTCATGCCTTTTGCGTAGTCCGTCCTTGCGTCACCTCTCCTGCGCGATCGTCTCCCTTCCGACTCCTTACACTCTGTATCCTTTTCGTCTTCTAGCCGGTGCCTCCAGCCGAAGATCGTTGCACACGTCTGCCACCAACTGCCCCAACTGTCGACCGACTTCAACGTCACTCGCCGCTCGGATCTATTGTCACTACCTCGGGGCTCTGCGCAATGTCACGCAGTCAACGCGCGCTTCGCCTACTATGGTGTTACCCGAAAACTAACTAGCGTCGGCGACGAATAAGGTTTATATGTCAAATTCTGGTGTTA